ATTTCTCAACAGACATCCTTTTCTGTTTCTTCCTAGAAATTAGTGAGAATATCAAATTCTCTGCATTTAACCAAAAATCTGTAATCATCTTTTGATTTAAAAAGTAGCCCATCAGACATTAAAGAATCAGGTATGGCAATTTTTATACAATTTTTTGTATAGCTACAAGTAAAGCAAACTTCTTGGACACCAACTATACAAGGGGGTAACATGTTACATATTTTTGTTTTATTTTTCAGGTAAACATATACTTGCTGGGAGAAAAAAAGTATATCATATGAAAGAGTAAATAATGAATAGTATACCTCTCTTTTGCCCTAGTATCCATTTCAATGATAGCCATCCTCAGATGTAATGACTATGCCAGTTTCTTAGATACATCCTCCTCTTTCTTTCTTTCTTTTTTTAAAATTCTTTTTAGTTGTTGATAGACCTTTGTTTTATTTATTTATTTTTAATGTGGTGCTGAGGATCAAACTCAGTGCCTCACACATACTAGGCAAGCACTCTACCACTGAGCCACAACCCTAGCCCATGTCCTCCTCTTTCTTACACTTCTTTTTACACTTATTTTTGGTACCAGGGTTTGAACCCAGGACTGCTCTACCACTGAGCCACATCCCAAGCCCTTTTTAAATTTTTTATTTTTGACACAGGGTCTCATTAAGTTGATTAGGATCTTGCTAAATTGCTGAAGCTGGTTTTGAACTTGTGATTCTCTTGCCTCAGTCTCCTGAGCCACTGGGATACAGGTGTGCCACCGCACCCAGCTCTTTCTTACACTTCTGATAACACATTATCCACATTCTTCTGACCTCTTAAACAGTATATCTTGGATATTGTAACCCATTCTTTTGCAAGAGTGCTTAGTAATCCACCATGTGTGTATAATATATTTAACAGTTCCTTACCTATGCACATTTAAACAGTTTCTGATTTCTTACTACAAAACAATGTGACAATGAATTTCTATTCACCTTTATGTCAGAAATACATAAGTCTTTGTATTTACATTATTGGGAGTATATATTAGCATGACTGGCTATGCCTATAATTAGATGTTTGACTTTCTGAATTGATTGTGTATGGTTGGGATAAATTCTAGAATTGCTGAGGTAAAGGACACTAGTAATTTAATATTGATAGCCAAATTACCCTCTAGCAGTTGTGCCAAGGTATGGTCCTAGTAACAATAATGAGAGTTCCTGTTTCCCAACATTCTCTCATCGGCATATTATCACAATTTTTTTCTTTCTTTCTTTTTTTCTTTTTTGAGATGGGATCTTAGTATATAGCCCAGGCTGGTCTTGAACTTTGGGTTTTGAGCAGTCCCCCCAACCCATGCTCCTGAGTAGCTGGGACTACAGGTATGCACCACCATGACAGTTTTTTTCAAATTTAATATGTGAAAATTCAAATTTAAGGGTAGTATTTATGTGTATTCTTTGGTTATAAGTGAGTTTGTCCTTTATGTGTTATAGAACCATTTGTATTTTTTTTGTGTGAAATATCTGTTCATGTTCTTTATCATTTTTCTCTGGAATATTAGTATTTTTCTCAAGAATTTATACATTTTATTTACTACTTATTTAGAAAATTAGCTCGTTGTCTATCATATATTGGAAAGTTTTCCCTATTAACACATCATTTGATTTTTGTTGTTGTTCATGAAAACCTTGGCAAACAAAAAGTTATAATTTTATATAGACAAGTTTGATGTTTTCTTTTATGGATTTCTCTGAGGTCACAGAAAATTTTCTGATTTTTTTTGGGTAATATTTTATGATTTCATTTATTTTACAGTGATTTGATGTGGAATGTGTTTTGGAGTAGAGGTTCAGTTTTTTTCCCCAATTGGCTTGCTAGCTGTCCCAACAAGTTAAGATCATCCTCAAGACAAACCACAACAAGATTTACAGAAGTACAAAACCCCTAAATCTGATCTAAACTGAACACTGTCTTCCTGACCATTAAGGCAAGACAACTGGTTCAGAACATTTGGCAAGAAATTTAATCTGTGGGTGTAGGGTATGTAATCCAAGATAGAGCCTGACCATCTCTGGCAATTGTACTGGATCTCTCCCTTAGTGTGGAATTGGGAGGGGAGGAATAAGAGCTCCTGGGTGGTTCCAGAAGTTAATCAGAATAGCAAGTCTCACCCATTGTAAGAGAGCCTGAATGGAATTTAAGAATGGAATTGGAAGGGTTAAGGGAGCCAGAAAGCAAAGAACAAGTCTGGACAAGCAGGTATAGTGAAATATGAGGCCTAAGGGCTTGAGGCGAGCTCATCCTTTGAAAGGGACAAGGAAGGAGACACTGGATTTCTAAGGAGTCCCATAGCAATTCTCAGCCAGACGATGGAATTCAGACTAAGCTTTTACCTGCACAAAAAGGTGAAGCCAAGAATCCTAATAGCTCATAGACAGTAGCCCAGATCTTGGAAATATGGGCTGAAATAAGTTTTCTGAGATAAAGTAAGTATTGGAGTGGTGTTATTGGTTTACAAATAAAAATATTTACCACTACTAAGTCATACCTAAAGGTAACAGTGAACAAATTGGTATATTATTCCATTCCTTTTTCAACAAACTTCTAACAAATAAATGCCAGACACTGTGCAGACTTGGAGACAGATGAATAAGGTACAGGTTCTTGCCCTCCAGGTGCTAATCTAAGTAACATGCAGCAAGTCAGTGACAAAGACAACACAGGGGTGAGGTGCTCAGAGAGGACTCAGAGCTGAGAATTCTGAGCCAAGATCAGGAGGTAACCCAGCACTGCATTATGTCAAAAATCCTCCTTCTCCTTTTATGTAGGTTAAGTTAAAGTTTCTTTCAGAATCAAGATTGACATTAATGGTACTGCACTTCTAGCCTCTTATTGCATGATCTCTTTAAATGCTTTGTTTGTTTGTTTTGTATTAAGGATGGCTCCCAGGACCTCCTGCATCCTTGACAAGTGCTCTACACTGACTACTTCCACAGCCCTACATGTCTCTGCCGGAGATCTAGTAGGATTTGACTTTAAGTAGATCTTCAGCCTGAGTTTCAAAGTATTTGTGAACCCTTTAAAATTGAGTGAGATTATGTGAGTGTGTGGGTCATAGGTTTTGTTAGAATTTTAAAGGAGCCTGTGACTCCAAGGACAATTTCAAATTAGTGACTTAGATTTCTTCAACCCAACTAAAGATATTTTATCTTTAAAATGTTTTTTTAAAAACACCCTAACCAAACTCTAACCCAGAGATGTTTTAGTCACTGCTCATGGTCCCTTTATCCTTCTAGCTTCTTCTCCCAATTTCCAGAAATAGGAACAATAACTGGCATCGACCTCCTCTTAACTTTCCATGTTTATGTTTATTTGGCAACCCCATACTTTGCCATAATAATAACATGGGCAACCCTATTCTTAACTGTAATAATGTGATTTCATCAAGCAGAGTTGGAAATCCACATTTCCAAGGCAATTTCTCATGTTTTCAGCCAGAGTTTTTGTTCAAAAATGCTCATGTCTAAAAATCAAATTCAACACACATTTAACAAGTACTTTCTATACAAAAGATATCACACTTCATGCAGAGCGAGAGAGGAGGGTAGCAGGACATGCTATTGACTTAAACCCAGTTTCTACCTTCATGGAGATCCGACATTTCATAAAACACACAGAGTGCTCTAAGGATCCAGATTGTTTCCTACCAGGGAGTGTAGGGAAAAAAGTCTAGAAGACATTCTAGCCAGGCAGCATTTCTTATCACTGATAATGCTGTAGACCTGTTCACCCTCCATTCCATATCTTCAAAATAAAAAGTGCAGACTCTGGAATGTTAACATCTGATCAGAAGTATTTTAAAAATAAAGCTAGGAAAAAAACTAACTTTTGTCATAGAATAACAAAGAAAGAAAAAATGGAAGCAAATGGTATAGAAAATTTGTACAATAACTTACTAAGGTATTAAAGGATATATAAATTATTATTCACATAAATAGAAGACATTTTGACAATTGGTGGTTAATAGAGAATTGTATTATCATTATTGCTATCATTTTTTTAAAAAAATATGGTTTTGAAGCCACCCAATGGAAAAATGTATATTTTCCTAAACTTTACTGTTTTGCTGGAAAGATTTACAGACTATGAGGGCTTTCCTACATGTAGATCAAGGACTTTATGTTTGTACATTTTTCTTCTTACTAAGTCATGTGTAATCAAGTGTGTATTATCGAATAAATTTGCTGACTGCATTTACATAAATGTTCACAAAGCAGTTTCACATTTACTATAAATCCTGTACAGTATATTAGCATGGGCTAATCATTTTCTTACTCTGTGTTTTCAGGATAAGCCAGCACCTGCCAAATTTTTGAGACAGCTCAGGGCTTAGAGGAAGGCTCATCTAAATAAAGGCCAGCTAAAGTGACATTGCAAGGATTTAATCCTCTGGCTGCCCTGTGAGTTAAGGCTGATTTGCAAGATTCTTCTTTCCTGGGGTCCAGCTTATCAGTCTCCAGAGCCCTATGACTTAAGAGCATAGAGAAGCACAAAATGAAGCAGGTCAGAGATAAGCACCAGCAGCAGGGACTTGAGGGCCTTGGAGAGGCTTTTACACACCATTGTGCAAGATTTCCTGGCCATCACCGTAAATAGCAAACGGGAGCCTAGGACGCAGCCACCTACTATAAAACAGCAGCCTCCACGTCCAGCCAGAAGTTCAAGTCCCATCTGAGAAGAGTTATGGTAACTGGACGTGTGTCTAGTTGTACAGGTAAAGCTTGGAAGTTCACGGCCAGGGAAGGTGGGAAGGGCTGGACAGCCTCTGTCTGCTCTCACTGAGGCTGGGAAGGAAGCTGCTCAGCAAGGAGTTTCTGCCAGCTCCCAGGACAGCTGTGTGGGACACTGAAGTCCTGCGAGCCTCGGTTCTCATTTCCCACCCACTGGGCCTCTGCCTCCTCTGGAACCTGCCCTGCTCCTGGCTGAGATGGAGACGTGAACCCGCGAGGACGATGACCGCAGTGTATGCAAACGGAGGTGGCCTGGTGAACACCCACAGTGCCAGGTGGGAGCGGCGAGACAGCGCGGAGAGCGGTGGTCAGACAGACTGCAACAAGGAGGGTGAGGAGAGACAGCCGCGCCAGCTGACACCTTTCGAGAAGCTGACCCAGGACATGTCCCACGATGAGAAGGTGGTGAGGGAGATCACGCTGGGGAAACGGATAGGTTTCTACCGAATTCGAGGGGAAATCGGAAGCGGGAACTTTTCCCAAGTCAAGCTTGGGATTCACTCCTTAACCAAAGGTAGGATCTGACTTCCCAAGTTCTTCCCAAGATATCCTGGGATCTAGTTTGTGGGTGAGGTATGAGGGGAGGCCAGGAGAGCAAAGGAGATTCAGCTGAGCACCTGCTACATCCAAGCCCTGGGCCAGCCCTCCTCGGTGGCTTCTCAGTTAATACCCACAATAATAATGTGAAGCCAATATTGTAGGTGGACATAATGCCTTTTTTTTTCATTTATTTATTTTTATGTGGTGCCTGAGGATCGAACCCAGTGCCTCACCCATGCTAGGCCAGCACTCTACCACTGAGCCACAACCTCAGCCCCAGAAGCCAGTATTTTAATTACTATTTTACATTTAGGGAAACTGAGGTCCAAAAAAGTAAAATGTGGGTTTGGTAGTTCAATCTTAGGAGTATTTTTGCTCCCCAAACTCCCACTACACCATCTGGACAAACTCCCACAAAGGTCGAGGTAAGCCTGCCCTCTGCAATCAGGCCATGGAGAAGGGGACTGGGATGTGGCTTGGTTCCAAGGCATCACATCTCCTGAGTCCACATTCATAACTTCTATTTATATTTGTGTATCAGTAACTATGGCACAGAGTGGCACAGCTGACTTCTCAGATGGCCACTCTCTGGATAGTAGATTCCAGTTTCCCCTCTAACCAGAACCTGCTACTTCCGTTATATTTGGGGAAAGGGGTTTGATCTCAGTACGTTTTCTGCTTCAGTCTATTTTGTATCTGTTCTCAGTGTTGCCTGGTTCCTCAGTCCACACTTGCTTTACTATTGGTCACTCTGGGATTCTGGACTAGCAGTGCCCACCACTCTGGCCTCAAGGAGAAACTGCATGGAGAGCTCAGCACCCTTTTACTGCCCAACCTCCTTGTGGGTATTTCCCCAAGGCACCTCTAACTTAGGTAAAGCCTGATAAGAAAGAAAGAAAGGAATGAAGGAAGGAAGGAAGGAAGGAAGGAAAGAAGGAAGGAAGGAAGGAAGGAAGGAAGGAAGGAAGGACTGACTTGTAAGCATAATTTACAATGCCTGAAGCCCATGGGCTCTACTCTCTCCCAAGAGTCCCTTACTAACATTTTTTCTCCTTGGACCCAGCATGCTACCATGTCCCAAAGCTTCTCTTTTCTTCTATCACAATTGTCTTTTGCTTTCTTTTTTTCTCCAGCCTTTTTTTCTCCTGCAAAACTGTGCCCTTCCAATCCCTGTGTTTGGTCTCTGTGAAAAAAAAAAAAAAAAAAAAAAAAGCCTCATTCGCATACGCATATGCATGCATTACCACCTCCAACAGGCACACATGCCAGCACATACACTCACAAGTCACAGGAGCTTCAAGTCCCCTTCCATGTTGCTCTGAAGCCTGAGTATCTGGGTTCATGTCTTGGCTACTTTACTTACTTATCTTGGTAAATTACAGTACTTCTCTGAGCCTCAGATAACTCATTAATAAAATGTACAAAATAATAGTGCTTACTTTATAGTCCATCAGAAGTATTAATGAGTAAGTGCTCTATAAATGTTAGTTATTGGTATTATTTTGCAGAGTTGGTTAAGCCTTGCCTCACCTTTGTTTATAACTAAAGATCAATGGTTCCTTTATCAACAGAAGTTCATTCCCACATACAAACCAAGATCCTTATGTCCTGTTTTCAGCTCTGCTACCCACAAATTACTTGAGAAGGAAAAAAAGAAAAAACCCAGACCCCACTCAAGAGCTTCAGATTTAATTGGCCTGGGTTGAGGCTATTTTAAAATTCTCCTGGTAATTCCAATTTATTATTTTAAATTTTATTTTAAAATTCTCCTGGTAATTCTAATGGATAGCAGAGTTAAGAAACGGCACCTAAGCGATTTACATATGCTGTAGACAAATGACTTTTTAAAAAAAGCTTTTTTTTTTTTTGTTACAAATCCAGGTAGCTTGTCTTTTAGACTCAGTTTAGAAGTATTGTCAGGGTTTGATGCTGCATTTACTTTCAAATTTCATTTTCACTTGGGATAATGTTCATTTACATAAATTAGATACAGTTCCCACCCTCAAGGATAAGGGGAGAGAAAAAACATATACAAATAAATATACCACAAGCAAAATTTGAAACTTATATAAGAAAAGTCATGGATTTAAAAGAAAGAGACTCTTCCATCTTGGGGACTATTGTAAAAGGCTTTCAGTAGGGATAGTTCCACTTCAAGGATGAGTAGGATTTTGGATCAGTAGTTATTAGAGGATGGAGGATAAATGGGTAAAATAAAGTGAGTTAAAACCATAAATATGGGAAAATGATGTGTGGTACAGTTTCCCTAAACACTAGGAAATGGTGGGAGGAAGGAGTGGAAGCTATGTTGAGGCTGAATCATGCTGGACTCTGATTTTTGTCTTAAGGATCTGGAATTGCTTTTTTTTTTTTTTTTTAAGAAATAAAGAATCATCAGGATTTCTTTGGTTAGGACAAGGCTTTTGGAAGAATAATCCTATAACAGTGAGAATGATGTTGGGAAGATAGGGTACAGGAGGCAGGAAGCAATGGTGATAGCTCAGACAGATTAGAGGAGATCCTGAGCCAGATGGTGGCTGTCAAGATAGAAAGAGCTGTGTGATGCTGAGGAGAAGAATCCACAGGACTGGAGTAATGGTCAGGGTTCTCCAGAACCAATACATGTGTATGTACATATGGATGGATGGATGGGTGGATGGATAGATAAGAGATTTATTATAAGGATTTGGCTCACATTATTATGAAGAATAAGAATGAGAATTCCCAATATCTGCATTCAGGAGCTGGAAACTAAGGAAAGGCAGTGGTGTAGTTCCTATCCAAAGGCAAGATCCAAGCCAGTGTTGCAGTTGAAATCTGAAGGATGCAAAAACCAATGTCCTAGCGTAAGGCAGTTGAACAGGGGGAGTTCTCTTACTTGGGCTTTTTTTCTATTCCTATCTTTAACTGATTGGAGGAAGACAGCATTGGGAGGACAGTCTGCTAATTCAAATATAAATCTCATCCACAAACACCCTCACAAACACATCTAGAAAAATTCTTGACCAAATGTCTGGGCATCATTTGGCCCAGTCAAGTTGACAAATAAAATTAAACATCACAGTTGGTAACTAACTGCATGTGGAACTGAGGATGGAAAGAAGGGAGAAGGCACTAACTTTGCCTTACTTGACGATGTGAACCAAAAGAAGAGCAGGGCTAATACAAACAGGGATATGTCAAGGAAGAGCAGAGGTGAGATGGAAAACAGGTCCCAGAGGACCTGTCTACCCGGAAGTCTTGTGCTCAGGCAGGGACATGGGCATAAGGTCAGACCATGTTTAAATTGAGGTGATCATGGAAATAGATGGAAATTACTGAGGAGGACAGTAGAAAAGGGTGATGAGCAACTGTTTTATACCAAAATAACTACTGGTTTACATCCTGATTGGCATTTTATATCTATATAAGTTGTGTGTATATGTGTATATATATATACACACACACATATATGTGTATATATATATATATATATACATACATATATTCACACGCATACATACACATAAATGTGTGTGTCATATACATGTGTGCATTTTAAATATGTCAATGGAATCATTTAATCTTGCTCCATTAACACCATGATTTTTTTTTTCCAGTACAGGGGATTGAACCCAGTGCTCTACTGGTGAGCTACACCCCCAACCCTTTTTATTTTTATTTTGAGACAGGGTTTCAATTCAGGCTGCCTTGAATTGCAATCCTCCTGCCTCAGCCTCCAAAGTGGCTAGGGTTGCTGGTGTGCACTACTGTGAAAACTACCATAGTGGCAAATACCATAATATAAAAAAAGAACATTTAAATTTTTAATTGACACATAGTAATGTGTACATATTAATATAATCTATACATAGTAATTATACATATTAATGGGGTACAATGTGACATTTTAACACATCAGATCAGGGTAATTGACATTTCTGTCACCTCAGATAATTTATCATTTTCTTACGTTAGGAATATTCAAAATTTTCTCTGCTGATTTGAGGGTATACCTCAATGGTGGAGTGCTTTCCAAACTTGTACGATGCCCTGGATTCTATTTCTAGCACTTCAAAACAAAACAAAAAAATAAATAAAGAAAAATTCTCTCTGCCATTTTAAAATATTCAATTAATTATTGTCAACCATAGTCATCCTGCTGTGCTACAGAACGTTAAGTTATTCCTTCTGTACCACCCAACCCTGGGCCCATTTATCAACTTCTCTCCATCGCTCCCTCTCACACCTCCTTCTCAGGTTCTGGTAAACACTTATATATTCTCTATTTCTGAGGTAAGCTTTTTAGCTTCCACATATAAGTGAGACTATATGGTATTTGTCTTTCTGTAATTGACTTATTTCACTCAACATAATGTCTTCCAGTTCCATCCATATCATTGTCAATGAAAGAATTTCATTCTTTTTTTTTTAATAGCCAAATTGTATTCTATTGTGTGTATATGCCACATTTTCTTTATTCATTTGTTTGTTGGTGAATGTGTACATTGATTCCATCTGTATGTTGGCTGTTGTGAACATAGGTGCAATAAACATACAGGTGCAGATGTTTCTTCAACATACTAACTTCAATTTCTTTTGAACACCATCATTTCTCAAAGCCATTAATTATAGATATTTTTCAATTCAACATGTATTAATCCTGTCACTTTTAAAAACTACATAGAATTCCATTATACAGCAATAGCATAAATTCTTTAACTTGATCCCCATTGATTAGTGTTTCGATTGTTTCTAAAGTTTTGCTGTTATTTATGATGATACAGAGATTATCTTTTTCCATGTATCTTTGCATACTTGTATGACTTTTCATATTCCTAGAAGTTAGCTCTCTTGGTCAGAAGGCATGCATGGAAAAGTTTTAACGCACAGTGCCTGATTGAAGGGCAGCTTTTGAATTAGGAGAGATGTTGCTTTTCAGTGGCCTAGAACAATAATGAAAAACAAAAGAAAAGCCCCAGTGGAAGATAAGGG